AATAAGAGAATACAGGAAAGATACAGCCAAAGAAAACTATAAGGGACCTTGAGCTTGTGAGGGTGGAGGATGCATAGGCCAGCCAAGAAGTTGAGGTGAACCAGGAGGTGTTGAGTGCTGACTAGGAGAGAATACACTTAGTTCCACAAAAGCCACCCCTGAGGTTGCATCCTTGTCCGTTGTTCGAAAGGAGATGGATCCTCTCTTGGTTGAGGCAGCTGAATTTCTCCCAGGACTGCTCACCATACTTCCTCCAAGGGTACTTTGGTTAGCAATTAGAGAAACAGTATCATTTTGTTCATCACATAACCTTCTCCTAGCCTCTATATCCCTCTCTGAGCTCTTCTTCAATGCTAAACAATCTCGCATGGGCATGACAATGAGCATGAACATGCCCATCCCAATACAAAAAAAGAAGGAAACAAAACCCACAAATGCAAGAGCTTGAAAAGGTAAATGTTCTGGCAGTGTTCTAACAGTTAAACCGAGTAATAGAACCCTTATAGGAAAGAAAGCTGAAACTGATAACACTAGCATGTATACTCTCTTCTGCAGACTCCTATTGATAACCAAATGCAGGATTCTTCCACCAAGCCAGAACAAATATGCAGTTAGCATGATGGCAAAAAGACCAAGGCAGAAAGTACTCAACAAAGGGTAAGTGCACAGGGCAACATCATTTTCAAATTGCTTGACTGGACTAGTGAAATAATCTGGCAAGTGTTTCAAGCTATTCTTCTTAAGTTGTGGTCCAGCCAAAATAAGCACGAGCTGTAGAACAAAAACTGGGAGGCAAAAAAGAATTATGTATCCAACTGTTTTGCCATTCCATTTCTGGCTTAAAGTTCCCGACTTCTGTAAGGATGCGCGAAGGAGAAACACAACGGTTAGGTACAGGCAAGGTTCTGCAAAACCTAAGCTCGAAACAATGTAACACTTGCAAACAGTTTCCTGCCATCTGAAACCAAAAGCATTCAACAATCTTCCTTCCCCTCTAATCAAGTTAAGCCGAACAACCTCTCCAAATCCCCACCAAATTGCAAACAATATAAATACAATCCGGATAATCCAAGGACCATGAAAATAACCAAGCTGATTGTAACCTTGCCCACGAATCTTCGTATGAAAGTATATCAAGTACAGTATACAAGACAAGCCAGCAAGTACCAAAATTGAAACAAGTATAATAGTAATTACACCTAGTGCATCAACAGCAAATCTCGAATAGGGCATTACCCAAACCACAAATTGCACGCATGCTCTCTGACAGCATGGAGACCTGAAACCCCTCTACCACCTGAAACCCTCACTCCTCCCTCCTCCACCACCTCGAAATCACAGATTTAACTCCTCTCAATCTCTCAACCTCAAAACTACCATATATCAACAGTCTCGAGATCTGATCACCAACCACCCCGCACACCAAAAACACCAATTCCACCCTCCTTTTTTCAAACTTCTTCAACAATGAACTCTATCTATGTTCAACGTGATTTCCCTAAAAACAAAACCGTACACAAAATGATCACAGTCTAGACATATATAAAGTAGAAACAGTGCATTTATCTCTAAACAAACCCTAAAGCAAAAACAGTACGGATACATGCAAAAATTAGATCAAACGAAAGCTTACCAGACGGAGAATCTTGATCTGAAAAGCGCAAATTCTGAATCTTCTTGTATCCAGTGAGAATCGGGAGAAGAAGAAAAAAACCCTAAGTACAGAAGAAAAAAAAAAGAAGAGAGAGAGGATTGATGGAAGAGAAGAGTGAGGGAAAATGGGGGAGAAGATAGAGGGGGGTGTGGGGGTAGTGTGGTAGGAGAGCTTTGTTGGAAACAGGCTGTCGCCAGCGAATAAACCAAACCCAGAATTGGAAATTATAATTGAGATTTATAATGTTTAAATGTGAAATATACAAAAATATAATGAAAAAATGAAATACTAAAAATAACAGGCTGTATACAGCTGGATGTTCCGAACCTATAGCTTTTGTAATACGTCCGAGTCTAGTTGTCAAACCTGACCCTGGCGGCGTTTACGGTGAATGTTCTAACTTTGATTTTTTTCTCTTCCTTTTTATTTTCTGTTAAAAAAAATAGAATAATCAATAGTAATATGTTTTTGAAGATTATTTGTTTGACGTTAATTTTAAAAATCCATCTTTAAATATTTATTTAATCATAAAATTTAATTTATTTGGAAAATCTAATCTTTTAATATTTTTAAGACGGTGTTGGTCATAATTGTTAAACTCCGAAACACATTTGACAATAAAATTCAAAATTTGACAATAAAACTCAAAATTTGAAGAATACCAAAAAGTCATGTACACTAAAAAATTCAAAAACAATTTTAATTTATATTCATGGCCAAACACAGCTTTAACTTTTAAATACCATCATTTTGAAAATAAAAACTATTTTTTAAAAAATATTTTTCTAAATTTCAACTTCAAAATCTATGAGGATGAAGGACATTGTACAAATATTTTTGGTCATAGAGTTTGAAAAATATTATAAATTAAGTCTACTCATAAAATAGTTTTAAGTATTTATTTATTTTTAATGTTAATCTACAACATGATAAAATAATGAGTGAATTAAATTGTACTGGTGGTGTAAACAATAGTGGCACTATCACTTTGTATAACTTTAGATAAATACGCTTATAGCAAAATGATTTTTTCTTTGCTCATTTAGAGTAGTAAAACGACATTAATTAATGTGTTGATTTAACAAAAAATATGATAGAATTAGTTGAGATACTTTAAAAATGTAGGTTGCGAATATTTCCCTTGATTTGAAAGTATGCTCCAATAGTGGCCAATCATTGGCATTTTATTTTATTTTTTATATATTCTTTTTATATTTGACAAATTTTGAAAGGTTAATCGTGCACGTATTGTGATTCAAATTTTGATACGTAATATATCTATGCTCGATTCTTTTTATTTGAATAACAAGTTATCAATTCATTTTCTAATCGAATAAAAGTGTTCTTGTTACAGTAAGGCATGAACCATGTTGTATGTCCTCCCAATTGAACAACGTTTTTTCTGTTATATCGAACATAAATCATGATGTGCGTTCAACTCACATGTAGCACGTGAACAAATCATGAACGAAATATGTTACTTTCTTACTTAGGAGGAACAAGTGATAATTGGAGATTAATAATTTTTTTATGACAATTTATGTCGTATCAAACACATTAGAAAAGCAAATATTGAAATTGATATAATCTTTAAAAAAAAAAAACTTAATAATCAAAGAAGATTTCTTAAAATATGCTCTATTTTTTAAACACCTAATTCCCCAAAGTAACTTTAAATTTGTTTCCATTATTTCAAAGGAAAAAAAAACAAAAATAGAAAATAATGTAAAATGCCATATGAATACCTTTTTGGAATATTTCTGAGTCTTCCAAAACACTACAAAAGGAGTGATGCTATTCGACTTTGTATGGGGATTTTAGATTGGAAAATGAATTGGTGGCTTGTTTATATGAACTTATATAATCCTTTCTTATGAGCTAACTTTTGAAATTGAGTTAGTCGATATGTCATATTTTTATATAGTATCAGGGCCAAGTCCATTTCTGTTTGGACTCTTAGTACACGCTAAAGTTGGATGGCTTGAGCACGAAGGGGTATTAAAATTGATTGAAGGTCTACTTATATGGACTTGATAATCTTTTTCTCATGAGTTAACTTTTGCAGTTGAGTTAGATCCATGTGTCATAAGTATAATTCTTCTTTTTCATGCAACAATATTTGGCAAAAGACATATCGGTTAATCCAAATCAGATTAATTCCTAATCCATTTCATTTTCTTTTGACACTTTCAACAAAGATAATTTAGCTTGTGGAGGGAACAAAGTTTGGGTTAGTTAGAAATCCAAGACTGAATAAATCCAATATTAAAATTTTATGAGTTAAAATTTTTTTACCTTCCAAGACTAAATTCATTGCATTCTTGATATTATATATGGGTCTAGAATTTCCTGTATATTGATATTATATATCTTATCCTATGTGTGAAAAATGATGTGTTAAGCTTTGACACATTGAACTTTAAAATTTGAATAGGAAGATTCTGTTTTAAGCCATGAAAGTTTCTATGTAGACAGTGATACCACCATAGAGACCTACAACACTTGTATATGTCCCAATTTTGGCATCTCATAATTGCTTTTATATCAAGGCTTAATTTCACTTGATACCTTTCACCTCCTACCAATAACAATATCCAGTGCCCACCAGCAACAAGTATCATGTAACTCTGTCCATCAAGATTAGGACAAATGGGAAAAATCACCTAGTGTTTTTTGTCTCAACGAAATTGAGCATGAGACCTCTTGATTCTCAACCATTTCGTTGACGACTAGGTCACACTATTAGATGCTAAAATTGGTGTTAATTACCAGTGGTGAACTTCTAAAATAGAAACAAATTTGGAACTCTCAAACCTCCATTTGTGTTGCAACAGGAAGAGTTATTACTCACGTTTTTTATTTTGAAAGGAATAGAAATAGTGTTCGATTTAAATAACAGCAAGAGTCCATTAAAAGATCACATTGGTCATCCTACAGAAACTCTATTTTTGTGGTGCAAATTCATGGCAAATATTCATCCAACTGGCCATCAACACGAGCTTAGAGTTTAGCATGCACTGCAGGCTCCAAGTTCCCAAAAAAGAAAAAAAAAAACTTGGCATACAGCTTGTATTAGAACAATTCACATTTGCTTTGTCTAAAAATATTCAAACAAGGTTAATGTTTGTGCTGGATCACCTTGCACGCACCTCAACTAATACTAAGAGGCTAGCTACCTCCCACTAGGAACATTCTATCAGTTCACACAATTATTTCAGTATTTTGATGTTTGACATTTTCCAGGCACCAAAATTGAATGGTCTGATAAGTTGCTCCTGTAATTTATCAATTCTTGTGTCTATACATCTTATTTCACTTTAACTAACTTAAATAATGGAGATCGACGAAAACATCAGAATAGACGAACGACAATTCTATTCACCAATCTTTCTCTGATAAATCCCAGTCGTTAAGCTTTCCTTCGTGTGTTGAAATATTGCACAACAGTGTCTTGTCAACATAACTATTATCAGATTCAAGATTGCATGTCAGCAGTTTCTTTCCTGTAAGCCTGGAGCCTCTCTTTCAACTTCTTGCTCTGTTCAAAATTTGCTTTCCTCTTTATAGCTTTCTGCAGAAGGACATCATATTTTTTTAATGGCTCATACATGAGGAACACTGAAGATATGTTTTCAAAGACATATAATTTCCGAATAGGTAAAGCAAGAAACCTTACTTCCTGCCTAAAGCACCGGTCAAGCTTTACTTTCAGTTCTGTGCATTGCCCAAGGAATTTCCCTAGTGGGTGGTCTGTATGACATTTCTGAAACTCTTCAATTATCTGCACCACGGCGACATAACCATCTTTAGTGTATTTGAGATGTTTTGGCAATTATTTCTTGAAGTTAACCAATAAAAAGAACAAATTAATCTACAACTATGATATACACACGACAAGACTACATGTCAACTAAGTTGCACTGACTCTTCACTTTTGATGTCACACCCGTGTCGGATTCTCCAAAAATACAATACTTTTGGCGAATTCGACACGCACCCGTTGACATTTTGAAGAGTCCGAGGAACATAGCATGTCAATGCAAATAAACACATGCAAAGGCAGTGCTTCAAAAGCACAAGATGAATCTAATCTAATTTAACAATGTGAGAAACTTACATCAGCACATAAAGGGTGTCTATGTAGAGTCAAAGGTGGATGCATCTTCTTCCCTTGAGTTCAAAACCTATAGAAGTAGGAAAAATTTTCAAATAAATATTTCCCCTTCTCCATGAAGTAAGAGAAACATAAAGAAAAAGAAACAATAGAAAAGAGAGAAGTATCAGGAAACAACAGCATTTCGGTTGTACTATCCAAGACCGCCACATTCCAAATGTTCATATTGACTGTCAATCTTCTAGAAAGATTTTAACTCAAGATCTTGAGGACTTAGACCCTTATTTGTATCAACCAATTTTTCAGCCCTTGTGTTTCATGGCCTACTTTCCTCTGCAGTACAATGCTGATAATCGCCTGGAGAATAGTCCATGGCATGGAGAATTTGTTTGATTCTCCATACTTCAAACTCCGATCAAAGAGACGGGAGATGATTAACTGTCCACTCCTCTTGGCCAAATTCCAATTAAACCTAAGCTTATCCGAATAATCAAACCTTGACTATTTTATACAAAACAACAACACTAAAGGACTGCACTGATACCTAACTTAGCACTTGTAAACCTCAATTATATAAAGGAATCAATCATCAGCCAGAAACGTAAGATAAAATGAGGGTTATCCTAAAGTAAAGACATATAAAAGCTACTAAACAAATAATTTTAAGGCAAACTGGCCAATAAAGTAAACTAAACAGCTAAAGCAAAAGAAAATTATCTACTTATGAGTAAATGGAAAAAATATGCAGAATAAACTTATATACTCAGTCAGTCTAAAGCCTCTATTCATATATGAATAAAAATGTATAATCTTCATAACATGATAGAAAACAAATAAGTAAAAGGTATTGCATCAGTCACAAATGAAGGAGAAATTTTCACAAGTAATTACTTATATGTAGTTTGAAAATTGATTAGTTTGGTCTTAAAATCTAATACATCTGGAAATTAAAACAAAACAATGGCAACAGATTGAGCACACAGTTATTTTGATCTCTGACATGCTAGTTGATTATTATTTATAATTAGAGGACGTTGATTGAGCAAACATCAGGAAATATGGGGATCAGTATAGCATTTATGGCAGCAATGAAAGGCTAACAAAATGGTTTTGAAAATGCCTTCGTACACGAGCATGGAGAGGAGAGGGAAAATGATAGCATTTAGAGCCTATTTAATCCTCATCGATCCAACCTAAGGAATCAGAGACCTTGTTAAGAAGGCTTATGAACTTTTGGAATCTACACCTAATGCTTTCATGCTTCAACAATTCTACAACCCTGCAAACACTCAGGTAATTTTAAGAAACCTAACTTAATTAATGTATTCTCTATTTTACTACAGAATTCTCAATTGCTTCATATTGAAAGCAGGATCATTTTGACACAACATACCCTGAAATATGGGAAGAAACTCTAGGTACATATTTTTCATGGGAATACTGGTGTTGGACAATATCTTAAATCCAAAAATCCTAATGTCAAGTTAAATATATACTCTAATGTAGTACTCTTGATTCCTCGAGCGGTACACTTCCAAGATAATCCCATGTCAAGAAATTGAGAACAATTCTATGTCAAAAATAGTTAACGTTGTGCTTATATGGACTCGAGCCAACTGAAAGTAATATGCTGAATGGTGGAAAACCAGGTCCTCATCAGATAACGGGAAATGGGATTGGATTCAAGCAAGATATCCTTGACATGGATCTAATGGAGGAGCATCGACACTGGAAAAGTAGTGAAGGATTTCCTGGCTAAATATAACCAAAGTTACAAAATCCCTTGGAAACGAAGTTTGTGATTAAGATATAACAGAGCTAATAAGTGAATTTCGTGCCGAAGAATCAAGGATTACCTCAACTAACAACCACGTATCAAGTGTAATTCCACAAGTGGGGTCCGGATGCAATGATTATCGATGGAAAAAACCTAGGCTTGAGGAATCACTAAATAGCAGAAGTTGACACATACCAACAGTTAGCAGAAGAACTTTCCTCCAAGACAGGACTAATTCTGTAATTAGTTTGTAACAAAAGATAATACTAACAAAACGCCATTAGGGTCAGCGATTTTCTAAAGCAAAATACATGAGAAAGTTAATAAGTAGAGGCACCAAACAATAATTATCCAAATTAGTAGTTGTCTGTACATATGTATGTGAAGGTCACATTAACATACTCATGTAAGAATCTATTAAAATTTTACCCACAAAACAAGTGCAATAAGAGAAATTAATTGCAGAAAACAATTACCGCGAAAGAAGTAGACACCTGATTACAAGTGAAGACAGAGTATGACAAGGAAACTGAGAGCTTGAGTATCACAAGAACGAAAAAAGTCGGCAAAGTAGCATCGCAGATTGCAGGTAAAGAGTCGGTGAAAAAAATGTGAAATGCCTAAAATACCCCCCGGACGACCAAAGTTACATTGACCGCAATACCCTTGGCCCTTATTTAGAATGATGATATCTCATATCTCATATTATTTGTCCATTTTTCCTTTTATACTGCCCTAATTTTCTTGAAACTAAACAATATTTATAAAATGGATTTTTTTTATAATTATCTCTATCTTAATTTTGTAAATTAACATGTAATTTGGTATTAATATTTTTAGTAATGTGGAACAGAAAGAGTATTTTTACAAGTGTAAATCAAATGTTTATGGCAATTTGAAAATGGGTAAAAATCGTTCACGCCCAAACTTTGCTTTTAAAATGACTTCTACACAAAAAAATATTAAACTGTGTACTTTAACTAGACGACACGACTTATATTGTTGCACAAATGAAAGTTACAACTAATCATAGCAGATTATTGAAAGAGTAATCGATCAATGAGTGCGAAATACCAGATGATTATAGAAAGAAAATAAAAAACTAGTAATACATCCTCAGAACATGAAAAATCGGATTTCTTTTCTCCCATTGTTATTGGAAGAGATTTCTTTCAATTTCAATGCAAAAACAACTACTCCATCTAAAGTAAATATTTGTATTGCCTTTTTCATGTTTTTCCCACAGATCTAGTAAAATCATAATCTGCAAATATGTCATATAAAGGGTATCAAGCCAGCTCCCAACTCTTTATACACTAGCTAGACAAGTTTCCCTACTTTCATCTCTTTTGTCCCTATTTTCTACAAGAATTCTGGATGTAATCAAAATATTTGTCTATCTCTGATTTGAGGATGACTCTCTAATACCTTGTGAACAAATTGGTTGTTCTCTTATCCTAGATAAAAGGATTGACACGTTCTCTGTTGCAATGTCAAGACGTTCCCTGGACTTTGCTGATTCTGTTACTAGAGTAGAAACCATACTCTGCAATAACTGAACCCTCTCAGTGTGATCACTTTGAGTATTCTGAAGAGCTTTTGTTGCTGGTGTACTGATTCGTCGCCACCGGTGTGGCAGATATCTTTCTGGTATTTGGAAGCAATTTCCTGTTGAAAGAACACGGAGAGCATGGCGACAAAGAATTCCAGAGAACTCAAATTGATGGCAGCTGCAGCTTACGATGCCCTCTCTTGGAACCCAGTAAACTTTCCGTCCACCCTCAAGTTTTGTATGATGTCGGACAAGGAAACCATCTTCCATCTGGAATGATGCATAATGGGCAGCCAAAACAAGTTGTTCTTGAAGCTTAGAGAAAGCAAATGGTGTCAAAACTGTAGCAGCATGCGCTTCCATGGGAGCACCTGTTTTAAGGCATATATTTTGTAGATTTTGCTGCATAGTCTGCTGCTCTCCTGTTTGATCCTTGAAATCAACTGTAACAGCCACCTGATAATCAAGACTATGTAATTCAGAATGGAGATCAATTTTACTCAGTAAAAACATATGATGAACCACCCTGAGATGTTGCAGTATACATGCTAACTTTTCAACTATAGGCCCATCTGTAACATTTCAGTAATGACCTCATGTTTCCTATACACCATCAAGTGAAGTGTGTATAAAACTAACCTAAAATAACTCTCAAGGGGCAAGGGGAGGGGTGGGAAGGACCAACCGGATAGCAGTAACGGCATTCATGACAATTGTCATGACTGACAGTTTTCATCCTTATACTTGAGAGTAAGGATTATCAGGAAGCAATCTGTGTTTAAACATCCTGCCAATTTTAACATTATGAGTAACTTTGGCGGCGTTGTAGCAGATATCAAGCTTCACCTGAGATATCTAGTCCCTAACCTTCATCTGGCTTTGAAGTGGTCAAGAGAAACTATTTAGCACTTTAAGAACATTCTACCCCTACCAGTAAAAATAAACAGGAGCACAATTAAGGTCTAGATAACATACTTGTTCCACAAAATGTGCTAGCCGGCTTTGTGCACTCAGAAACCGCTGGATAAAAGCATTGATTGACTTTGAGTGGCCTGTCGTGGTCATACCGGCAAAAAAGTGGCTCCTAAGGTATGGCAGTGCCCACAGTGATCTCAAGGCAAATAGACTGGCAATATGCCTGTTTGTATGCAGTCCGAATGAGTTCACCATGTCTCTCCAACCCAACTCAAAGTCCTCCACAGATTCCAAATTATAGAGTCGGTTAAACTCAGCCTTCCACTCGTTGTAGCGCTCTCCTAAAACAGCATTAAACCATGATGGGTACTTTGCTACGACAAGCCAGATGCAAAGGGCATGCTTAGTCGTGGGCATCTCCAAGTTAATCGCCTCTTTGAGACACATGTTTTGATCAGTTAGTACTGTTTGTGGAGCCTTCCCATTCATGAACGCCAAGAACACCTTACACATTTGAAAACATACAAAGTATCAACAGAGATTCTGAAAAATTGTTAATATACTCATTTGTGGACACCATTTCATATTTGTCTTGCATATTCTCTTCTCTTTTTCTCAAATTTTCTTTTCTCCTTCAATTGGAGCAGGAGCGGATAGTAAGCTGAGAGGCTTTAAAAATATTCCTATATCCAAATGTTAGTACCACAAAAGCTAAACAGTATTAACTGAGATAAGCGATATCAATATTATCTGATCTGCCAAAAAAAAAAACTGTTACAGCAAGCATTTTCCTAATAGAAACTATTTATTAAAACCATTAATAATTCCTGCCCTTTCAAGACACATTTCCATTATTGCAAGCCCATATATGTTGAATTTATTTTTCAAGGAGATGCATCCAAATTTCCTTAAACACTTGCATAGTCTAATCT